ATATTTTTTATATAATGTCTTATTTATGATTTTGTAAAATTTTATTTTTTTTTTTTTTTTTTTTGTTATCATCGTCGTTAGATTAGGAAAAAAAGAAAGATTTAATTTCTACAAAGCATGTACGGCTTCTCAACTTTATTTCATCAAGCATAAATATACCTAATTAAGATACTTTAACTGCGAAAGAATATTAGAATATTATTTTTAAAAATTTGATTAATTATTAAGATAAAAATTTTATGATACAAATCTTTGAGATAACGAGATAAGACATAAATCAATAAATTGATCTAAATGGAAATCATTGTATTCTCGATATTAAATAATCGCGTTTTTCAATCAAGTATAAAAACGTTCGAGTTGAAAAATATTCGAACTCGTTTCGCGATCCAGAATTCCGATAAAAATTAAATTTTCAAATTATCTCCTCGATAAAAACAATAAATAATGAAAAGGTACGTTGAACGTTTTAACTCGTACGAACTCTTCATCGAACAAATAAAATTGCGGTTAGCATTGTGGGCAATTTATTTACTTTGCCGGCATTGGATGAGATTTTTTTTTTTTTATAGATAGAAGTCGGGCAAACATATGATTTATATACATGTGCACACACATGCAAGCAAGCAGGTCGCGTGGGTGGGTGGATCGATAAACGTTCAAAAATCGCGAGATTAATCTGCGCTTCGGTGAAGAATGGGTAAAGCGGCGTAGGAACTGGTTTCTGTGTGATATAATTATAACGTACACGATAATATGCAAATATATTCTTTGTCTTCAATTTGTTCAAACAAATGAAACGTTTAAGATCTTGTAAATGATTAACATTATCCACGATATTAGCAATTTTTTTTATTTACGATCGAAATAATTCGATTATCAATTTTTATTTACTATATTTAATAAAGTATGGAATTGTAATATTAATAATAATAATAATCTAAAATGGTTGAATTGAAAATTTTTGATAATAAATAAAAATTGGAACATATATAATTGCATTATGTATAATAAAATTTGTAAAAGTGATATTTCGATTTTACTTTCAATTTTACTTAAAAAAAGAAAATTGTTGAGAAAACACTTATTATACGTTTTGGTATATAATTTTTAATAATTTGATGCATTTGCAGTTCATATTAAATCTATATTTAATTTCATTGTCGAAAAAAAAAAAAAAAGAAAAGTCAAATTATTGGAAAGTTTACACGGATATATAAATTTTCACTTCATATTTCAAGTAAGATCGAAGGATCGCGTCAAGTCGGAATACGGCAGAAGGGATCATTGCAAGCAACTTTCTATTTCTTCACGGAACATAACGTACTATTGTACGACGTAAATGTCGGCCCACATGTCGACACGACTTCTATCGAAAGGTTTCATAAACCTTAGCAACGATACTTCTGTTGACCTATCCGCATGGAATAACACTTTCCATGTCAACTGATGGAAAGTTTAATGCACAAAAGTGGTTTTCGCAATTAACAACCCAAAGAGACGAGATAATCATCCCGATGATAAAATCTTCATGCAACGTACTTGCCTATCTCGTTTATTTCCTAATTAGATTCTTTTTCGTATCGCGAAATATACAAAACGCTTCGTATATTTACACTGTGTTAGATTAAAACGATGAACGTAGCGAAGCGAGCCACCTTAGAGGGCAAATAGGATATCGTTAGAACAGTGGTTCTCAACAGGCGAACCGTTTATTTCGATACATTTATGTTTACGTTGTCATATCGTACAAAAATAAATATATAATGTGATCTCAAAGACAGAGTGAGAGCCTGATGGATTAATACGTTTAATTAATTCTTTATTTTATTATTATTCAATTTTTTATATACAATATTATAATTTTACATGGATAATAATATCAGTTTGAAATATATTTTCAATAACACAACAATATTTAATTTTAAAGTTGCATAAAAATTCACGATCTATTTGTTATAATATTACCTCGTTAACGAGGTTATTATGACAACTCGAGAAAGGTTTGAGAACACAGAGTTTAGAGCAAGCTCGGTGTACATTTATTCTAACGTATCCGAGCAACGATCTCTGAAAACAAAAGGGATCAGGATGGAAAAAAGAAGGGTTTGGTCGACCCTACAGGTGCCACCCAGAGCCTTTATTCAGTTACACATTCATAAGTGATGACAAAGAGTCGTTGCGCAGGGGACTTTTAACGAGGGGGCGAATAAAACTCAGTTTTTCCCCATCACACCCTTAATTAAAAGTAGCTCCTCCGTTGCGAATTAATGATTCCGCTTCTGGTGTCGGGCGCAATCGGAAAATAATATATTTAAAAAAGCATATAATAATAATCTAAAATGGTTGAATTTAAAATTTTTGATAACAAATATAGAACATTGCATTATGTATAATAAAATTTAAGAAAAATTATTTGCTTCCCTCGAAATAAAAGTGATATTTGCGTGAGAAAATAATATATAGATTCGTGGAATAAATTAAAAATAATGCTTTTCATGTATTAATCATCGTTATAATTTTATTCACGAAATAAATGTCGAAGGATTGAATAAAATTGGTGGAACGAGTGGTAACTTTTTTCACAGGTGTAACATCCGGTTGAGGTTAAGTGTAAAACGTTTAAGTTGTTACACTTGCTAGTTACTAATTAAGGAGTTGGTAGAGAGAAATAGCGGTACATTCACCGGCAATGTGCTCCTCGTTTGGCCATCCTCGTATCGTTAATACTGTTCCGTATTTAAATATACATGAATATACTTTCATTACATTTAAAATTTGTATAATTCTCGTTATAATTCTCGTTTCTTCATTCGTTAATATTTTAATACGATGCATGATGCTATTAAATTCTATTTTAATTCTACCTTCCCATACATGGATTAAGTTAGGTTAGAATCCCAACGATACTTACTTTTTTATTATTCAGATCCAACGTCAGAATTCCATCTCTTCAAAATCCATTATTCCATAATGATTTAAACAAAAATGCGATTAAAAGTGACTTTTGATTGAAAAAATTCTTTTTATGAAGAATCATCGAATCGTTTGATTATCCTCTTTGACGTGTAATTGTAAAAAAGTGCAATCTACGATGAAATCATCACTCGTCGATTTTCCAATATAATTACACGAATTAACGCGACGAAAGAAATTGTCACGAGATATATCCTTCAAATCACGATTACGAAGAAAGAAATAAAACGTGTATATAATAATTCATTCACATTTCTTCAATTAGTCCCGGTGAATTAGTGTAGCGTACAATTGTAAAGCAGGTTAGCATTTTCTTTCGATAAAGCATCTCTCTCGTGTTCCTCCTTTAATTTCTTAATCACAAGGGAAGAGAAAGGAAAAAAAAAAAACAAGGAAATCCGTAGCGACGTAGATCGTCGATCTATACGTTGCAGAATTACACTCGTATTCACCAACACCGTTTTCTCACCATTTCACTCGTATACGCCACGAATGTGCACCTTTTGCACGGCCAGTCCGCTAATTATCGTCGCGTGTTGACCCTGAGAGAGAACGATAAGAGGCAACAACCGGGGCAAGTTAATCGGGGCCAATGGGATCCTTGGGAGGGAGAAAGAAAGGGAGGAAGGAGTCAAGGCGAGGCTGTGCAGTCGATGCACTCGTTGCGATTCTTTCACTCGATTCGGCGATATATCGGTCACGAGATCGTTCCGATCGTGTCGTATGCTTCGCTCTGATTTCGATTTCAACGTGGATCCAAGAATGCGCTATATTTTCTTCTTCATTGGATGGATTTAGATGCATGCGAGTGGCTGAAAAATAAATTTGCACAATAATTGCAATCGAGTTTAAATGCGCCCACGTTACGCAAGGATTAAGTACGAGTCGTGAATAAAATTCGTTCGCTCGATTCTCGTTTCGATTTCACACGTGGATTAGATGCACGTGTGAGATACGTTGCAAGTGGCGTGAAATTTTATTTCACGAAATGTGTTGTTTTCGTAAGGTAAATTTACATGGAAGATAGTGTACTTAGTTGAGTAAGTTGATAATTTGCGTGATGTACGAGACATTTTTTTTTTTTCCGTCAATATGATTAAGTGTGTTATTAAGTATGTTTACGAAAATTGGTTCTGTTAACTTCGTTGCAATTTTAAAAAAAACGTAAGTTATCTCTTAATTAATTTTCGAAAAAGTAATACAATTAAACGAAACTCGTAAAGTAACTGATTTCGATAGTGAAACGAAATACGAGTGGGTAGTTGAGAACAGGAACGACTTCCTGCAATAACAATTCTATTACTCATCCAACGTGATAAATGTCTAACTCGATCATTTGTAATTCGTCTTCTACACGAATTTGTAAAAAAAAAAGGAAAAAATAGAACAACTTTTTTCCATTTCGTTCACCCGATATTTTCACTTCGACAAGGTTAATTTGACACAAAGTTAACAACTCGTTACACTACAAATTTATCACCTCGCGTACCTAACCTTAATTCAATCGAATTTTTCACCGAATCGTCGATGTTTCACTTACCTCGTGTTCTCGATTCGATCGAAATTACCGTTTGTGAGACGCGAACACCACCGTTTCACTACGTATTCGTGCTTCGATTTGCAAAATTACGAAAGATCAAAGGAGAGATACGTGTGATCGCACCGACGAATTAGATCGAATATTCATCCCGTCAACGATGGCCACGCCATCTTTCCACTCGACGTTGCAAATTACTTTCCACGCTCTCCGTTCTCACTGTTCCATCGCGAAACCGTCGCTTTTCGTTCAATCGGAACCATCAACCTTCTCCTTTATGCCTTTACAAACGTTCGCTCTTCGTTTTTCTCCAAGAGTTTATCGATATATCGGTACATTTTTGCCAAGCGTTCTTTAAGGAAGAAAAATAATTGGCTGGAATTATTAATCTTATCCGTATAATTGTAACTCATTATCGAACATTTAAAATTTCTCGTCGTATTCTCGAAGTAAGAAAAATCTAAAAGATAATCTACGATTATTCCAGGTAATTAGAGAGCGGTGAACGTTGTTCTGGGAGGAAGAAAATGCCGCTTCCTAAGCGACTGGTGGAGCCAGTGCTCGTCGCACGGGGCACCATCCCTGAGAACTTTCCTCTCCCCTCAGAGTTGGAGGCTGTAACGAATGGCACGTTGGCCAACACGATCAGGCAACTGTCCAGTTTATCGAGGCACGCCGAGGATTTGTTCGGCGAGCTCGCGAGGGAAGCTCACGGGCTGAGCGACAGGGCCAACTCCTTACAGGCCAGGATAGATCGGCTAGCCGTCAAAGTTACTCAGCTCGACAGCAACGTCGAGGAAGGTTCGTTAATTGGCTGATTAATTATGCGGCTTGGGATTAACCTTTGGACCGAGACATCCACAATATTCACGTATTCGATCCGAGAGTACAGTATTCGTGGTGTTGGTGAAAATAACTTTTTGAAAATAGTAGAAAAAAAATTATTGATTATTATTAATCGTCGATGTTATGTTTCTTGTAACAAGGTGTTATATTGTAATTCCCCCCCCCCCCTCCCTCTTCTTTTTTTCAGTTTCGCTACAAGATATACACATGAGGAAAGCGTTCAAAAGTTCAGTGGTGTTCGACCAACAAGTCGTTTCCAGGGACACCATGCCAACGGCCATGTTGGAAACTTACCATCAATGCGATACGCCACCACCGCTCGATAAACTTAACGTTTACAGGTATTTTCGAACGTTTTTATCGAACAATCGTTGAAGATTGAATTTTTATTTCGACAAGGGATAGGATCGATAAAAAGTAGTATTAAAGAAAAAAAACGATGAAATAAAATTAAACACATTATCGATTGTAGGGAAGACGGCAAAGATGGATTAAAATTTTACACGGATCCGAATTATTTCTTTGATCTCTGGAGTCAGGAGATGCTGAAAGATACCGAGAAGAAGTTACACGATCGAGGGAAAAAGGTAAATGAATATTTCTCGCTTCTAGAATTTTTTTCTCTCTTTACACGTGCACCTCGATTTTCTTCTTTATTTTTCTTCTCTCTCTCTCTC